TCATTCCAGTGTAGCTATTTAGTCAAGAGAAATGACAGCATATATCCATGCAAAGTTTTAAACATGATGCTCATAGCAATTTTATTTATAACAGCCCCAAACTGGACACAGCCCAAATGTCCACCAATAGGTGAACAAACTGTGGTACATCCATAATGTGTCAACAGTTTTTAAAAAATGAGTTGCTATCATGTGCTACAATATGGACAAACTTGATGTGTACAAGAAACCAGAGAAAACAGTTTATGGGTTCTGATTTCATTTATATAGAATTCTAAAAAATGCAAACCGATTTATAGAGATAGTAGGCAGATCAGTGCTTGCCTGGGGACTGGGGTGAGGGCAGTACAGGACAGAAGGATTTACAAACAGGAGAAAGCTTTCTGAAACAATAAATATGTGCATCATCTTGATGGTTATAATGGCTTCATGAGTATATACAGATGTCAAAACTAACCAAATATACTTTAAATATTTATACATTAATTTTATATCAAATATCCTTCAATAAAGGTGTTAAAGTAGTCTGGGTGGTTTCTAAAGTAAATAAACCATAAGCTTATCTATGTATGTTACGAATCTGAAAAATAACAGTTTTTAAAGACTGAAAAAAACAGCATAGATAGTATTCTTCCATTTAAGGAAAAAAACAGAAATCTATAGACCCAAGTAATGAGATTCCAAGGGTTTTTTCCTCATCCTAACTTTTGCTGCTTTTTACCTTTTAATTTTCTTCTTTCCAAAAATATCTTTTGAAATAAATATAAAGTAATATCCCTTTCTAGCGAGTTCTAGTTCCCTCAGCTGGACAGACTGAACAATCTCTGGTATACGGTCTGCCATACCCTATGGCTCACACAAATAATCATGATAAAATATACAGGTTTATTTTAAATTTTAAAAAATGGGGTCAAACTACATAAGTTACTCTGCAAAATGCTTTGTTTTTCCCTTAACTTATTATGAAAACCTCTCCGGGTTATGACCCAGCTCTGTCTCATTCATTTATCAGTGACATGATATCCCACAGCATGTATGTACCATTGCTCTTGAGAAGAGTAACCTTTTTTGCTTTTTCTTGCTACAAAACCCACTTCTAAACTTCTAACAGTACCTACTGGTACTTTCACTTCCTCCTTGCTCACCTCCCCAAAGCACAAACACATAAGCATGTATTTTAATAGATACTGAAACATTTCATTCCAAAAAGGTAAAAGTAATTCACATTCCTACCACACATACATGAGTGTTGGATTTCTTTCATTCTCACAGTTATTGATATTATATCTGCCAAACTAACAGCTAAATATGGTATTTCAACACTCACAAGTAAGGGTGAGCATTTTTCCTAGTTTAATTGACTATTTCATCCTTTACTCAATATTCCATTAGATTGGTGGTTTGTTTTAACCTGCATATACTCTATAAACAGATTAACCTTTAACATACTGTTGCCTTTTAATTTTCTTTTGCCCCAAAATTCAAAATTTTATTGCAATTTTATGATGAATTTTCTGTAATGAATATGTATTATGTTTATAAACAGTATCAACAAAAATGCCATGAAAAAACATACCTATTTTAATAAATTCAAAACAAAGGCCATGAAAAGTCTTTTTTGATAATGTCTCAAATATTTATCAATCAATGGGCCACTTTAAAACCCAAAGGCTTTTAAATGGATTCATGTGACTTTTAAATAGCCTCACAATCTTTATGACCATATCTTTCTCTAGTTTAATATGTTTCTGAGAATATTAAAGCCAGAAAGTTAGCTTTTACCTTACAGTCAAAAGCAGTAACCCACTTAATATACCTTTGCTATTCTATACAATCAAATACTTGGAACAAATTGAGAATGCATTATTTAGAATCTTAGCTCTTTAAAGATAAGACTGCATCTTACTGGTCTCCTTTATATATACAGCATCTAATACAGTATGCTGGTGGTGGTTTAGTCACTAAGTCATGTCCGACTCTTGTGACCCCATGGACTGTAACCTGCCAGGCTCCTCTGTCCATGGGAATTCTCCAGGCAAGAATACTGGAGTGGGTTGCTATTTCCTTCTCCAGGGCTAATACATTATATGTCCACCTAAAATCTATTAATCAACAAATGCCCTGCAATCAAAATTAAATTGAAAGTTAATGACTCTCTACAACAATAAACACTATTTTGGTCTTTTTGTATTAAGTAGGTACTACTGTAATATCTCCATGTCAGAGATCAGGAAACTGAAATAGGACAAAGTTAACTACATAGACCCATCCTGGAGAGAATAAAGGCTGGAGCTACAATTTATTTTCTTGGGCTGCAAACTCACTGCAGATGGTGACCGCAACCATGAAATTAAAAGACGCCTGCTTCTTGGAAGAAAAGCTATGACAAACCTAGATAGCACATTAAAAAGCAGATACATCACTTTGCCTACAAAGGTCTGTATAGTCAAGAAAACGGTTTTTCCAGTAGTCATGTATGGATGTGAGAGCTGGACAATAAAAAAGGCTGAGCACTGAAGAACTGATGCTTTCGAACTGCGGTGCTGGAAAAGACTCTTTTCAGTGCCCTGGACAGAAAGGAGATCGTCAAGCCAGTCAATCCTAAAGGAAGTCAATCCTGAGTATTCACTGGAAGGACTGATGCTAAAGCTTGAAGCTCCAACACTTTGACCACTTGATGCGAAGAACTGACTCACTGAAAAGACCCATCTGATGCTGGGAAAGACTGACAGCAGGAGGAGAAGGGGATGACAGAGCACGAGATGGTTGGACAGTATCACCAACTTGACAGACATGAGTTTGAGCAACATCCAGGAGTTGGTGATGGACAGGGAAGCCTGGTGTGCTACAGTCCACGGGGTTACAGAGTCGGACACAACTAAGCAACTGAACAAAAACAGCAACTAAGACATAGATGTAACTTCGAAGTCTTTGTCTTCCCAATATAATACTTTGCCTCTCAACTCTACTTTGTTCCTATACTTTCTCAGAACTCCAACTTCACTTTCATTTTGGTTGTCATTTGTTTTTGCAACAGGAGAGGATATGGAGATAAACAAGGGAGGGTATACTGAAGAATGCTGTTTGCCTGTTAGCCCTAAGCATCATATGTCATCAGGAAAATAAAATAATAAAGTGACTCTAAGGTTTGTCCTGAGCTCAGCAGAGGACAGGACATTATGCAATTTGGCTAGCAATGAGAAAAAATGATGATTCCAATGAGACCATTATTCCATTTTCTAAGTCTCCGAATTCCATTGTACTGCTCACTCTACAATGTCTTGGGCATTTTTTCTTTTTACACTTTAAAAAATGCATCTGTGCCACTTCTACCATGATCAAAACAGACTGCAATTAAATTTAAGGCAAATCTAGTGCTAATAAAGAAGTGTCAATCACTACAACATAGATACATACAACATAAGTAGTAATCTTTCTGTCTACTAAATACTTTCCATCTCTAAATACCTTGAATACATAAACCCAGATTTAAAAAACCCTTCCATTAGTGAGTCCACATGGCCAGTGCTCTGCTAAGTGCAGAGAAGCCAACTGAAACCTTATTCTGGGAGAAAAAAAAGAAAGTGAAGTTGCTCAGTCATGTCCGATTCTTTGCAATCCCATGGACTAGAGCCTACCAGGCTCCTCCATCCATGGGATTTTCCAGGCAAGAGTTCTGGAGTGGGTTGCCATTTCCTTCTCCAATTCTGGGAGAGGCCACTACAAATAATAAAACATACCTTCACAGATGTGATTACTTATCCCTCATCTTCACCTTACCCAACCCTATACTAACACATCTGTCTCTCTTTAAGATCATCAAGTTCCCAGGAGAAAGTCATCTCTGAGCCCCAGAGGTCAGCAAAGGGCCTGTCAGATAATACGCAAAAACTGACACTGCCTGAACAAATGAAATAAAACTATTAGCCAATCTAATCCTACATTTCTAACACATACACTTAGGTATGAATATATGAGTCTCTTGACACATTATCTTTATGCCACACATCTGTAATTTCTTAGCGTTCTATAACAGTTCCCAATTTGAATATTCTTTCCTGTGCTCCAAAATATGGATCAGGATATACTGTCAAAAAGTATTTTAAGTTACAACTCATCTAAATATAAATTCAAACTTTAGAGACACTCTAGAGTCTATTATGGGGGTTAAAAACATCAGAACCTATTTATTCAAAGTAGGTTTTGCTCAAAAGTTGTTGAGCTGAATAACGTGTGCGGGTGCCCAGTCACTCAGGCATCGTCTGACTCCACAACTCCCTGGGCCACAGCCCGCCAGGTTCTTCTGTCCATGGAGGTCTCCAGCCAAGAATACTGGAGGGAGTGGCCATTTCCTACTCCAGGGAATCCTTCTGACCCAGGGATCGAACCCATGTCTCTTGCATTGGCAGGCAGTTTCTTTACCACTGCACCACCTGGGAAATCCCTGAGTTGAATAAACTAAGTCTTAAATGTAAATAAGTAGAATTTTTATATACTCTCCCTTCTGAAAAACTGACCTGATACAAATGGTATAAGGAATGTATACAAAAAAATAAATTCCTGAGGGTTATTTCCATTCTTCTGATACAATTATTATTTTGATTACTGTAGACTTCATTTATAACATGTATGAGAAAGCTATGCATTTAGAGGGTCATGCCATGATTTAGTAATGTGATTGTACAACTTACAGAATATCCTTGTAAAGTGCAGTATCACATTTCAAAGGAAATATTACCCTAAATGATCAAAGTACAGAATTAAGTGTTTCAAATATGATTCAATTCTTGTTTGGATTCTGTGTTTAAAAATAATAACTAGCAGTAGCTAATCCCAGCTCTGGGACTCCTAGGTAGGTAATTGGTGGGTGAAAACTTCTAATGGGGGTGCTATGTTCTAAAAATCTTAACAGTTTTTTGATGGTATCAAGTATTTCATTGAATACTAAAAGCTGTCATGTAAATAATGACCTCTTTTTCAATTTTTAAATGCTGTTCTAGGTACTAAGTTACAGCCTAGCATGGATTTAGAAATCAGTAGAAGCTTGCAGGAAGAGTTATTAACTAATGGGCTGGGGATGACATCTTCTATGCTTTTGTGGTCCCTTATTAGCTATTTAAGGTGAGTATATTTAACTCTAACCCCTGCCATCATTTGCCTCTTTTGTCGACTGTTCATTTATATGAGTATTATATTCATGCCCAATATTAACTGAGTATCCACATTACCAGAATTATTTTACATGATTTTAAATTTTGAGAGGAAATACAGTACAGAGAATGCACTAGTGGTTACCTATGCAGAACGGGAAGGCAGCAGGGGCAAAATAGTGGCTAAGAGGTTAAGAAGAACAAACTATTATGTACAGAACAAGTAAGCTACAAGGATATATTATAAAGAACAGAAAATATAGCCAACAACTTACAATAACTAAATGGAGTATATTCTTTAAAAACACTGATTTACTATGTTGCACACCTGAAACTAACACTGTAAACCAACTTCCCTTCAATGAAAAATAAGTGAATTTTTAAAATGAGAGACCATATAGGTAAGTGCTTATGAGCTCTAGATGTGGAGCTATGTTTGAATGTTGGCTCTACCATTTATTTACTAACTATATAACCCTGAACAAGATTATTTACTCTGTGTCTCAGTCTCCTTTTCCATAAAATAAGATACTACAGTTGTGAGCATTAAAGAAGTAAATTAAACAGCGACTGGCAAATAGTAAGCACTTAACCAATGATAGCTATTATTAAACAACAGCAACTAGGACAGTATGGCTTACATGTTGTTGATATGTCTTTTATAAACTGAAGTATAACTGATTTATAATGTGTTAATGTCTCCTATATAGCAAAGTGATTCAGTTATACATATATATATATTCTTTTTTTGTATTCTTTGCCTTTATGGTTTGTCATAGGAAACTGAACACAGTTCTCTGTGCCATACAGTAGGACCTGTTGCTTATACATTCACATGGAATAATTTACATCTGCTAACCTCAAAACTCCAGTGAAAAAGTTGGCTTAAAGCTCAACATTCAGAAAACTAAGATCATGGCATCCGGTCCCATCACTTCATGGCAATAGATGGGGAAACAGTGGAAACAGTGGCAGACTTTATTTTTCTGGGCTCCAAAATCACTGCAGATGGTGACTGCAGTCATGAAATTAAAAGACGCTTACTCCTTGGAAGGAAAGTTATGACCAACCTAGACAGCATATTAAAATCCAAAATCACTGCAGATGGTGATTGCAGTCATGAAATTAAAAGACGCTTACTCCTTGGAAGGAAAGTTATGACCAACCTAGACAGCATATTAAAAGGCAGAGACATTACTTTGTCAACAAAGGTCCGTCTAGTCAAGGCTATGGTTTTTTGAGTGGTCATGTATGGATGTGAGAGTTGGTCTACAAAGAAAGCTGAGCACCGAAGAATTGATGCTTTGAACTGTGGTGTTGGAGAAGACTCTTCAGAGTCCCACGGACTGCAAGGAGATCCAACCAGTTCATCCTAAAGGAAATCAGTCCTGAATATTCATTGGAAGGACTGATGTTGAAGCTTAAACTCCAATCCTTTGGCCACCTGATGCAAAGAGCTGACTCATTTGAAAAGACCCTGATGCTGGGAAAGATTGAGGGCAGAAGTAGAAGGGGACAAAGGAGGATGAGATGGTTGGATAGCATCACCAACTCAATGGACATGGGTTTGGGTGGACTCCAGGAATTGGTGATGCACAGGGAGGCCTGGTGTGTTGTGATTTATGGGGTCACAGAGAGTCGGACACGACGAAGCAACTGAACTGAACCCCAAACTCCGTTCCTCCCGTAACCTCATCCCCCTTGGCAACCACCAGTCTATTCTCTATATCCACCCAGTCTGTTTCTGTTTCACAGATAAGTTCATTTGTGTCATATTTTAGAATCCACATGTAAGTGATTATGACATTTGTCTTTCTCCTCTGACTTACTTAGTATGATATTCTCTAGTCGCATCCGTGCTGCTGCAAATGGCATTATTTCATTCTTTTTTGTATGGCTGAGTAGTATTCCATTGCATACACTTATATAACACATCTTCTTTATCCATTCATCTGTTGACAGACATTTGGTTTGTTACCATGTCTTGGTTACTGTCAGTACGCTGCTATGAACATGGGGGTGCATGCATCTTTTTAGATTAGAGTTCTGTCTGGACGTATGTCTGGGAGAGGGATTGCTGGATTATATGGTAATTCTATTTTTAGCTTTCTGAGGAACCTCCATACTGTGTTCTACAGCGGCCGTTTTCGTTTACTTTAAATACACTTGATTTGTTAGTCAGATACTGTGAAGCACACACACACAAACCAAGAATAAACTAACACCAACAAAAATATTCATTTGCTTAGATGAGTTAATAAAACATTTAATAAAAGTTCTGTGAGGGTAATAAAACAAATCAGAGTTCTACTACTCTAGAAGGTGTAAGAGAGCTAGAGAGATAAAATGCATACGTATCAATATTCATAAAGTCCTACAACTATTCCAAACTGACATAAATATATGTCTTAAGAGTTAAGAAATAATCAGAATGTAATATTTTGTGAAGAGAGTCATATTGAAAAAATTAAATTTTGAGCAGGTTTTTTAACATGGTCTAGGTTGAGAAGCGGAGAAGGCAATGGCACCCCACTCCAGTCCTCTTGCCTGGAAAATCCCATGGATGGAGGGGCCTGGTGGGCTGCGGTCCATGGGGTCGCTAAGAGTCAGACACGACTGAGCGACTTCACTTTCACTTCTCACTTTCATGCATTGGAGAAGGAAATGGCAACCCACTCCAGTGTTCTTGCCTGGAGAATCCCAGGGATGGGGGAGCCCGGTGGGCAGCCACCTATGGGGTCGCACAGAGTCGGACATTACTGAAGTGACTTAGCAGCAGCAGCAGCAGCAGGTTGAGAAGACAGCATCAAGGCAACAATGTGGAGATTAGCACCTAGCAAACAGGTGTGGAGGACTGGTGAAAAAAATAAAGTACGGCTAAGAAGAGATAATGACTAACAGAGGGCCCTGAAGGCTAACCTCTGAAACAACTACTATGTCTCTGTAGCTATACAGATATCTCCAGAAACAATACTTTCCCTGGAAGACTTTTCTGGGAATGTCTGCTGAATATACATTTACAGAGAAGTCTCAAAGTAGAGAGAATTACAGAAGCTGAAGTACTAAAAAAGTCTATGAAATGGACCAGAAAGGGAAGGGGGTTGAAGAGATGGATGGATATTAATAAATGGATGGAAAGCTGGAAGGATAAGAAAGGCCTGGAAGGGTGCTGTGCAGAAACTGTAGAAGGCCTTGGAGAGCCTTCACAACTGAGGCAAAAACATTCAGAATTTCTGCCAAATATCAAAATTCTGTAAAGCAATTATCCTTCAATTAAAAAGATACATTAAAAATATATACAGGAACTAAGTTACATACAAAAGAAATTCAGAATCATTAATTTACAAAACACAGATCCCTTACATTTCAACCACAAATAATGATCCTGCTGTCCCAGCCCAGCTGGGTGTTCCATATCTATGACATCAAACAATGCACCTAGAATGGTTACTACAGTGGTACATTCACTACCTAGCTGAGAACACCCTCTCAAACTGAGGCAAGATGTAACTACTAGTAAAACAGTAATGTAGAGTAAGTTATAAGGCTGATGCCTCTGACAGATCATTACATAGATGTAGAAACACAACTATTCACAATCCTATTCATTTTTTTAAAAAAGCTTTACTGAGATATAATTCACATACTATAAACTCCCCCCTTTTAAAAGCACACACACAGTGCTCATGGCTGTGAAGGGAGAAAGTCCATTCTTCCCTCCCATGGACTTCCTTCTCCACTCATCCATAACACTTTGCTCCAGACATTTCTGGTCACCAAGTATGCAGGGGTGTTCCCCTACAACAACCAATTTTCCATGACACCAGCTGTGTTTCCACAGTTTAATTCAATCTCAAACTATCTACCTAGAGATAAGTGTCAGATATTACAAGTGAGGGCTCAGATCCACAAGACTGTCCTCCACTTTCACTTCAGATGCCAGCTGCAAATCCAACTATAAATTGGAAATTCCAACAATCCCCTCCCTCAGGTTTGCTAGAACAGTTCACAGAACTCAGGGAAATGTTTAATTATGTTTATCAGCTTATTAAAGGGTATGATAAAGAACAAAGATGAACTGCAGGTGAAGAGATACACAGGCAGAGAGGAGTTGTGGAAGAGCCCCAAGTGCAGGAGCTCCGTACAGTCGAGGAGCTGGGTGCACCACCCTCCTGGTGCGGACATGTCACCAGGCTAGAGGCTCTCTGAATTCCTTCCTATGGGGGCTTCATCAAGCAGACATGATCCAAAAGTAATCACATTTGCAGCCTCTCTTCTCCCTCTGGAAGACTGAAGAAGGGGCTGAAAATTCAAAGATTCTAAACATGACTGAATTAGTCCTGGTTATCAGCCCCACCCCGGAGTCAACCAAGAACCCAACTAGAGTCACCTCAATGGAACAAAAGATGCTTGTAGTGTTCTCATCACTTAGGAATTTACAAGGCTTTTAAGAGCCCAATGCCAGGGACATAAGTCAAAAACCAGTATTAGAACCAGAGATGTTTTTAATGTTATCATAAATTACAAGGATGTTAGAAACTCTGTGCCAGGAATCAGAGGCAGAGCCCAACATATATTTTATACTACAGACACATCTCAGAGATATTGCAGGTCCAGTTCCAGACCACTGCAATAAAATGAATACAGCAACGAAGAAATTGCACAAATTTTTTGTTTTCCCAGTACATGTAAAAGTTATGTTTATACTATACTATAGTTGTATGGGTGTGCAACTGCATTATGTCTAAAAAAATTTATATACTTTAATATAAAAATATTCATTGCTAAAAAAATGCAAAAATTTATATACTTTAATATAAAAATATTCATTGCTAAAAAAATGCAAACCATCATCTGAGCCTTCAGCAAATCATAATCCTTTTGCTGATGGAGGATCTTGCATCGATGTTGATGGCTGCTGACTGATCAAGGTGGCGGTTGGTGAAGGTAGAGATTGCTGCAGCAATTTCTTAAAATGAGACAACAATGAAGTCTGCAGCATCAACTGACTCTTCTTCCCAAACAGCTTCTCTGCAGCATGCCAGGCTTTTTGACAGCATTTTACCCATAGTAGAACACCATTCAAAATTGGAATCAATCCTGTCAAAACCTGCTGCTGCTATATAACTTAATTTAAATCATTTGATGTCATTTCAACAATCTTCCCAGATCTTCACCAGGGCTAGAACCCATCTCAAGAAACCTTTCTGTGCTCATTCATAAGAAGCAACTCCTCATCTGTGAGAGTTTTATCATGAGATAAATCATGTGGTTCGTTGATATTTTGACCTTTTCCCACGAATCACAAATGTCCTTTGGGGCACCCAGAATGGTGAATCCTTTCCAGAAGGTTTTTAATTTACTTTGTCCAGATCCAGGAGAGGAATCACTGTCTATGGCAGCAAATGTATTTATTAAATAAGATGACTTTGAAAGTCAGAATCACCCCTTTTTCACGGGCTGCAGAATGGACCCTATGTCCGTAAGCATGAACACGTCGTGAATCTGGTCTGTCTCCAACAGAGCTCTCAGGCGAACAGATGCACTGTCAGTAAGGAGTCATATTTTGAAAGGTGTCTTTTTTTCCTGAGTAGTGTGTCTCAAGGGTGGGATTAGAATATTCAGTAAACCATGTTGTCAACAGATGTGTTGTCATCCAGGCTTTGTTATTCCATATAGAAAGCACAGGCTGAGTAGATTTAGCAGAATTCTTAAGGACCCTAGGATTTCTGTAATGGTAAACAAGCAGGGACTTCAACTTAAGAGTCATCAGATGCCATTAGCCCCTGACAAGACAGTCGGTTCTTTGAAACCATGTATTCACTTCTCCTCTCTAGCTATGAACATCCTAGATGGCATCTTCCAACAGAAGTCTGTGTTTCATCTACACTGAAAATCTGTAGTTCAGTGTAGCCACCTTCATTTCTTACATTGCCGCAGCTTCCCATATCGGCAAGTGTGACTTCACCTTGTATGTTACGGAGACAGTTTCTTTTCTAAAACCTCATGAACCAACCACCTCTGCTAGCTTCAAACTTTTCTCCTACAAGTTCTTCACTGCTCTCAGTGTTCACAGATCTGTAAAGAGTTAGGACATTGCTCTGGGTTAGGTGTGGCTTAAAGGAATGGTGTAGCCGATCTGATAATGTATCCAGACCAGTAAAAATTTTTCCCCATCAGCAATAAGGCTGTTTTGTTATCATTCCTGTGTTGACTGAAGTAGTAGTTTCAATTCCATTCAAGAAAGAACTTTTCCTTTGCATTTACAACTTGGCTGTTCGGCACAAGACGCGTAGCTTCAGACCTATGTTAGCTTCTGACATGCTTTCCTCACTAAGTTTAATCATTCCTAGTTTTTGATTTAAAGTGAGAGACATGGGACTCTTTCACTCAAACACTTGGGAGGTCATGTGGGGTTATTAACTGACCTAATTTCAATACTGTTATGTGTCTCAGGGATTTTGGAGGCCCAGTGCGGGGTAGAAGAACAGCTTATCAGTGGAGCAATCAGAATACATACAACATTTATGGATTAAGTTCACTATCTTACAGTAATATCCAAGATCACTGTAGCAAATATAACAATCATGAAAAAGTGAAAAATATTCTGAGAATTAGCAAAATGTGACACAGAGACAAGAAGTGAGACAATGCTGTTGGAAAAAGGGCACCTATTGTAAGGATTTTCAACCATTTCAAGCCCAGAATTTAATTAAGTACTTTTCAGACACTATCATATTCAAGAGCTTCTCTCCTTTGGAACATAAATCCCTGAGGGAATCATGACACTCATTTGTTCTGTTATATTAACACAGTTAAAAGAGAACATTTGGGCCTGTAATGCTAGTTGAAAATAGTAGTATTAATAACATTTAACATTTATAGAGTCCTTAATATGTGCTAGACATTATGCTAAGTGCTTTATATATAGCATATTTCATTGTCACTACACATTTATGAAGTAAATACTATTATTATCTTCATTTTTCAGAGAAAATCAATTCAGAGGTAAGAAACTTAAGGTCATAGAGACAGACAAGGGAAAAGGACAAGATTCAGGAGTGTCTGACTGTTGCTTTGATCTTCACCACTATACTATGCAGCTGGTGTCCAGACTAATCAAATACATGAAAAGTTACATTCAGATCTTACGGATATATACTCAGAGAACCAGTGCTATAATAAAATAAAACAAGAAGACATGACAGTCAAAAGTGAGCAGCTTAGTGTTTATCACGAGGGTTCCCCAGGGCCTCCCATCACCCTGAAGGGTTTAAGCAGAAATGCAAGACCACATGTCTACTTTAAAGAGATGACTACTTAGTGGAGAATGAACTTGAAGGGGTCAAAGCTGAAGCCAGAGAAATGAGAGGTATTCATGCGTAAGTGCAGGTCTAAGGAGAAAATGGAGTGGAGGGGACAAATTCAACAGCCATATCAGATAAAATGAGAGAACCTTGTTAAATGACCATACATGAAAAAAGAATGACTCAAGGAGGAAATCTGTCAACAGGGAATTCACATTAAGGATTTCACCTCAGTTAAAGCCAGAGCCACTTACATAAAGTAAGAGACTGGGTGTCATTAACAGCTGATTACTGGTACTGAATATGACGACTATGGCATTTCCAAGTGGAGATATTTGGCAGACAATTGGAAATCTAAGACTGAAACTAAGAAGAGAGGTTGGAATGGAGATAAAAAAAACTCATTAGCACATACCACTGAAGCCATCTACCATTAGATGAAATTACCCATGGACAAAGTGTTGAATAATATCAGCAGAATATAACTGAAATATGAGGGAACTTTTGGGGGTGGTGAAACTTGTTTATGTTAACTGTGGTGATGATTACATGACTTGACATGTCTAAATTCACAGAAATTAATGCTAAAAAGAAAATTTTATTGCATGTAAATTACAATAAATAAATCTAATTAAAAAAGAAGAGAATGATCAATAGTATTAAAAGTGGTAAAAAGGCCAATATTATAGCATATTGGGAGCATAAATCAGACTATATTAGTAATAGGGAACAAAGTAAAATCAGGAATGGTAGACTATTCTTGAGAAGACTGGGCAAGATGAAACATGAGTTTAAGTGGTAACTAAATGGACGTATAGGAATAAGGGTGTGTTTATGGTCTGAGAGAGAATTCAGTATATTCACAATAAGAAAGAAATCTGGAGACTGAAAAGGGAAGCTAGTAAATTCATATGAAAGTTTGGATAGAGACAGGGTTGCAGCTCCAACAGAAGGTACAAAACGGTAAACAGCATGCACTCAATTTTCTAAACAGAAGACAGAAACAAAGTCATTTGCTGAGCGTGGGGAAGGCAGGGTGATTACATGACTTTACAACAGGGAGGTCAAAAAAGGAGTGGCTGGTGATGGACAGCATGTGCTTCTACAGGCATTTAAATTCACAGCAGGTAATCCTGTCCACAGTGCGCTGCCTACTGAAATTTAAGAAAAAAGACAAAGTAAAACACTGTTCTCTAAAGGAAAAGTGGACATGAAAAATCACAGAATTTGGTTAAGAGTATAGATCAGATAATTCCTCCTCTTCCACCTTTGCTCAAATTTCATTTTCTACAGAGGAATACAACTTTAATCATATTATTTAAATTTATCATTATTAGAGCTTCCCTGATGGCTCAGATGGTAAAGAAACTGCCTGTGATGCAGGAGACCCGGTTTCAATTCCGGGCTTGGGGAGATCCCCTGGAGAAGGGAATGGCTACTTACTTCAGCCTGGAGAATTCCTCGCCTGGAGAGTTCCACGGACAGAGGAGCCTGGGGACCACTAAGGGTCAGACATGACTGAGTGACTAACACTTTCACTGTAAATGGTATTACCTGATGGCCCTCCAGCATTTCTTTCCCTGCTTCGTTATTTTTATACTACTTTTAACTTTCTAATATATTACAACTAGGGCAGGGATCACTGAAATCTTCAGTGATGAATCGCAAGTGCCCAGAACAATGTAGAACACAGTAGACCCTCATTAACTATTTGTGGCTGAAACAAGGGCGCTTTCACAACTCCTTTTAAATATGCATAAATGTATACTCCCTAAATCCTGAAAAGGTTAAAAGAACCTTGTAACAATGCAAACAGCATGTCAGAAAGAACAATAGAAATGTGACATGAAAGAAGGCTTGGGTTGTAACTCTTCTTGTGACCCTGAAAAACCCAACTTACTTCCATGGCTTATTTTTGTTAATAGCAAAGTAAGAATAATTATATCTCAGAAAGAACTTTAAATCATGAAGATTAATGTTCGTGATACCTAAGAAAAGGTCTTATAAACATGAAAAGATGATTTCATTACGACTGCAACTAAATTACCAAGTGCTAATAATACAGCAATAGAAAAGTGGAGAAAAAACACATATTGAGGGAAATGCATTTTGCACATTTTTCTGTATTAGTAGTGAAAATTTCCTTGTCAAGATACTTCTCAAGACTACCATGTGCAAGGGGAAGATGGATACTGGAGAAAGAGAAAGCTTTCAGCATGACTAGGCTTGCCTGAAAGAGAATAACATTCCCCTAAACTGTCTGGACTACTCTGTCTAAAAGTAAGTTAAGAACAATGACTTCTTTTGGAAGTAGACTAATTACTAAGTCTGGGGAAAAGTGGGCTAAATTCCGAACAAAGAATCTATGTCTATTCATGGAGATACATATAAGAAGTTAATTAATAACCAATGAATGAAACTTCAAGGCTAACGTTGCAAAAAAATGAACCTTTGTAAATAGTGGGGAAGTGTATACTATTTGAAGAGGCAAAGAGGACCTGTGCACAATGCTTGCTAGAAAGACTTGGCACATGAGTTCATGGATAAGTTTTACCATAAGGTAGGTATCTGGGCTCATTCCATAATAGACAGAATTTAACCCAGTAACAGTGATCTCCAGAGAATGCTTGAGATTTCACTGTGGAAGGCAACAAGAATACAGGAATGACAGAGGAGAAATGTACTTTTTAGGCAGCTTTGTTGAAAATATTCTGATGAACAAGGTGGCAAAATCCAGTCATTTTAATTTACTTATGCCTAAGGATCACTCACGGAGAAGACAATGGCACCCCACTCCAGTACTCTTGCCTGGAAAATCCCATGGATGGAAGAGCCTGGTAGGCTGCAGTCCATGGGGTCGCTAAGAGTCGGACATGACTGAGAGACTTCACTTTCGTGCATTGGAGAAGGCAATGGCACCCCACTCCAGTACTCTTGCCTGGAGAATCCCAGGGACGGGGGAGCCTGGTGGGCTGCCGTCTATGGGGTCGCACAGAGTCAGACACGACTGAAACGACTTAGCAGTAGCAAGGACCACTCAGACTCAAGCCTCTAGAAAAGGGAGCAAACAGAGCTTATTTTAACAATTGCTCTACTGGTGTTGATAAATGACACTAATGTAGGAATGTGTAAGAAGGTCTATTCGCAAGGTTCAGAAGGTATTTCTCTAGAAGAGAATGAGAAGTTAGGTTACATGGGTACATATTATGGGAATGACTGTGCTCGTGGGACACTCAAAACCACTGGGGATCTATCTATTTTCAGCCCCCGTAACTAAATATTCCAGGAATAATTTCAAATACTTCTTAGAAACCTTAAGTCAAAGAAAGGAAAGAATAAATTTCAAATTTCCTATTACTGATGCAGACCTTCAGGCTATGTTTTTTAAAATAAGCCTTTTTCAGATTCAGTTCAGTTCAGTTGCTCAGTCGTGTCCAACTCTTTGCGACCCCATGAATCGCAGCACGCCAGGCCTCCCTGTTCATCACCAACTCCCGGAGTTTACTCAGACTCATGTCCATCGAGTCAGTGATGCCATCCAGTCATCTCATCCTCTGTCATCCCCTTCTCCTCCTGGCCCCAATCCCTCCCAGCATCAGGGTCTTTTCCAATGAGTCAACTCTTCGCGTGAGGTGGCCAAAGTATTGGAGTTTCAGCTTCAACATCAGTCCTTCCAATGAACACCCAGGACTGATCTCCTTTAGGATGGACTGGTTGGATCTCCTTGCAGTCCAAGGGACTCTCAAG